GGCTTCCTGGGACCCTGCTAAGCAGGCGCTGCGCCAGGCCTCAGGCTGTGCGGGGGTTGTCAGCGGGACCTGGAGAGGAGGGCTTCTGCAGACTGCAGTGGAGCTGCAGAGAGAAACAAGCCTCTCCGTACCTGTGGGCTCTGCATTCCAGGAGAGTTCATTGTAGAAGGATTCCAGAAGGATCGCCCGAGAGGAGAAATTCGGCAGTGTTAAAAACGTTCGCTTACTGATGCAGGCTTTTTAAAAATCAGTTTGTTTCTCTAGTAGGAATTTTTAAACCATGATTTAAAAATTTCCAACTAGATTGCTAACCAAACACGAGGCACTGACAAATTATTTGCAGTTGGTAACTATGTAAAACTCAAGAACATAATTATGTAATTTAATCCTATGATTGAAAAAATTTAGGAATAATTGTGACGTCATTCATTCAACAAGTGTTGACCGCCTGTGACACACTGGATACTCTGCTGGGGCTGGATCCAAATACGACCTAGTTCTTAAAGTTGGTAAGAATTTTAACAAATTGGTTCTGCTACAAGTTCATGTTTACAAGCTCAGATGATTGACAATAATAAGGATGAAGGCATTTTTTTAAAAAAAAGTCTGAAAGCACGCAGAATCCACTAAAGCCAATTTTGAACAGTACAGTTGTTAGCTGTCTGATAAAGTTCTCCGTAAAGCAACTTCATTGTAATTTTGTCTAACTGACTAACAAAAAGTATTTGAAACCCTGTAAGTACAAGTACTAAACCTTGGGGAGCACAAGAAGTCCTGGAGAGCTGAGCTGGCCCCAGTGGGCCTGAAATGCTTGCTGGCGGCTGGACAGGAGGGGCAGCACAGGACGCCTGGGGGATGCCTGTCTGTGGCCCAGGGCGCCGAGCATGCATGTGTGCGTGCAGGCGTGCGTGTGGGGTGGAGGGCAAGGAGGCTGGCGCACAGGGACCTCAGCCCTGCGTCCCTCCCCACGCGGGTGGAGTAGTGGGCTGGTGGGTGCTGAGCTCCGGGTGGGGCCTGGGGCGTAGAAAGGGCTCAGTGGACAGGTGGTGTTGCTGTCAGGGCTCGTGCGGTGAACCAGGGCCTGCAGGCCCGACTGCATCCGCCAGGAGCCTGAGGGCCTTGTAACAGAGACTAGGAGACTGGGTGAGTTAACAGCGGCAGCTCCCTGTGCCTACTCTGTATGCGCCGTGCTTTCTGTCGTCTGCAACTGTTGCCAGTGCCCTGGCTGTCAGGGCCACTGGCGGGGGTGGTGGTGGGGGTGTTTGAACCTCCGCCTGTTGGCTACCAAAGCATGGGCTCTTTCTCCACCCTGGGGAGCCCTCTATAGGGACTGGTGAGTCTCTGGGAAGGGGCTTGGCCAGCCCAGGCAGTGACTGCCGCTCCCATGCGTGGGCCCTGCATGCGTGGGCAGGCGGACAGTCACATGTCAGTGTAGAAAAAAATCACTGGAGCTGGTGATTGATGCAGGAGAGGAGACTGAGTGACTGCCGAGGTGGTGGTGCTGCTAGAGGTGAGGGCAGCACTGGTCACCTGACTTTCCTCAGGCTGAGCTGGGCTCCAGAAAGCTCAGACACCCATAGCAGAACGCTTGAACTTTTTCCAGGTTGTAATTTTGTTTTGGTGAGGTAAAGTCTCGCTCTGTAATCTAGGCTAGCCTTGAACTCACTGTGATCCTCCTGCCTCAGCCTCAGGATTACAGGTGTGTGCCACCGTGCTGGCAGAAATGTACTTTTTAATATTTTTGTTTGTTTGTTTGTTTTTCTTCCACTACCAGGAGTCAGACCCATGACCTTGCGCTTGCCAGGCAGGCGCTGTGCCGCTGAGCTAAATCCCCAGCCCCCAATGTCCTTTTTGATAGGCACCTACCCAACAGTCACCTCAGGCTTCATGGCAGTTCATCCTTGGTGTGGGTGATGCGTTGCCTGGTATGCCACTGAGGAGAGTGAGGAGGGAGTCACCTCAGGTAGGAGGGATTCCGAGGGACCCTTGGGCCCGGGTGTGCTTTTCTGTCTTTGAGGAGTGTTCCTCACAGTAGTGTTGAAAGATGAACTTTAAATTTTTTCAGGCTATCTGGATTGACACTTTTTTTTTTTAATCTTCTTGTGACAGGGTCTTGCTATGCAGTTCAGGCTGGCCTTGAACTCAACTTTGTAGCCCAGGCTGGTCTCAAACTTGCAGCGATCTTCCTGCCCCAGCCTCCCAAGTGTGGATTGACACTTTTATAAATAAAAATAAATAATTACTAGGAAAGGAAATGGGAAAGACATGTGAGTATGAATGCTATTTTTGCAGCATTACAGTTAATAGATAAAAAATCACGATGTCAGCCACCCTAGGGATTCCCAGCTCTTGCTCTTGAGCTGTGCACGCTGCAGGCCGGGTGGCTGCAGGCACACAAGCCCAGGCCCTGGGCACTAAGTGGGCAGCCCAGGAGGAAAGTTTGCTGCGCAAATTGGTGAACAGGACTTTCTGGAATATTGATCTGGTTAAAGAGTAAAAATGTGTAGGCTTGTTGTTTAAAATGCTGGCCATCGAAGTTCCACCCTGGGCCAGGGGTGTAGAATAAATAGATGAGCTGAGGATAATGCAGTTGCCCTGAGGGATCTGGAAATCTGAACTGGGAGCGGTATGTGGAAAAATAGTTGCTTCTCCTTCTCTGTGGTGCATATTTTTTTGTTCATTTAATTTATATTAGAATGTTTTCTTTGTTAATTTTTGTCTAATCTTTGAATTGATTTTTGTATTTGTGTGTAATTTTAGTTGTATCTTCAGGGAAAAATTCTCTAAAACACTGTAAAAAAGTCAAGAATTGCATATGCTGACATACTGATTGTGTAATAATTGTTTATATTTCTAAGTAGAGTTCTGTTTACTAGCTGCCAGTTGCATTGTGTTTTATATTTTGGGCTATTTTTAATTTATTTTACCTTTTTTTTGAGTTTCATTATGCAGTGCAGGCTGGCCTTGAACTTGCTTATGTCGCCCCGGCTGGCCTTGCACTCACCATGATCCTCTTGCCTCAGCCTCCCCAGTGCTAGGATTCTAGGCACGCACCACCATGCCTGGCTAGGGCTATTTTAACCTTGGCTGATGTCTCTCTTCCCTGAAGCCCTCTCTGTACCAAGGGTCCTCCCGGAGCTCGGCCTCCAGACCCTGCTGCTGTGTCCCTCTGCCGCTGTGTCCCTCTGCCGCTGTGTCCCTCTGCCGCTGTGTCCCTCTGCCGCTGTGTCCCTCTGCCGCTGTGTCCGTCTGCTGCGGCCGCGTTCCCTCGCCACCCCAGACACACACACTGCTCTTTGCTGCAGTCGGGACTCCTTTGCTTTATGCTTAGAGTATACTCTCAAGGCTCTTTGGTTTCAGTTTTCTTCGGTCTCACACTCCACGAGGTTCATAGAAGAATCCATTTTCTCTGGGGCGGCCCGGAGGGTGTCTGTACAGCGTCCCACTTTCCTTCGCTGTGAGTGACCTTGGGCCATAGGACCGCTCCACTCCAGACTTGAGAGGCTCGGGTTTTGAGTGTGCTCGGTCCCCTGGAACTTTGAGACCCTCTTTTTTACTCAGGACTTCGGCTTGTTTTTGGCAGTTAATTTGAATGCTTGGTCAGGTGTCACAGGTCTCTTGGGCAGGCAGGAATCCTCAGGCCCTCATGGAGGGATGTGGGGCTGCAATGGCACCCAGGAAGGGCACCTTTTGAGGACAGGGTGCTTGTTGTCTCCACCTGTGGACTTCAGACAGGAGTGGGCAGGGTGGGCTGCAGGCAAACAGAGGTAGTGAGATGCATCTCTCAGGAAGACACTGCTGATTCTTGAAAGAGGGTTGGGGCGTGCTGGAAAGACACTTTGAACCCAAGTCAGAAATCGCTTGCTTCAGACTTCGGGATGCACTGGGTGTGTGTTCTCCCTGACCACATACATCACCAGCCCTGGGTCTAGGCCAGCCAGCCGCTTTGTGGGTAGGTATGGTGCTCTCCTCACTCGCACTGTGGGGTGAGGGGAGATAGTGCAGCTCCCCCAGGGACCTGATGCAGGAGGGCTGCGCCCAGGCCCAGCAGCAGCTCAAGCTAAGTGGGTGTCGCCCCACTGAGAGCTGTGATTCGGACGCAGCCTTGGGCCTGTCCCAGAGTTTCCCAAAGTGGAACTGGGGCCGGGCTTCAGCGTTTGCGTTTCTGAGTTTCCAGACATCGCTGCTGCTAGTCTGGGGCCCACACTTCTACAGCCATGGGGCCACCACAGTGGGCGTTCAGGTCCTGTAGCTACGTGTGACAGCCGACCTGCTCTTTTTTCCTATTTCAGTGTGTGAGGTAAGGGGGTTGAGAGAGGGCCTTCTCACTGAGCTACATCCCCAGCCCTTTTTTTTTCCCACTGTTTTGACACAATCTAAGTTACCCAGGCTGGGCTCAACTTGATGATCTTCTGCCTCACCCTCCTAGGGTGCTGGAATTATAGACATGCACCACTATACTGGACTGAAAGCTGAGCTTTTATGTGGTTACAGTTACTCTGTTAAAAACTGTGGACACCAGGCGTAGCTGTGCATGCTTGTTGTCCTAGCATATGGGAGGCTGAGGCAGGAAGATCAGGCAGTGGAGACCAGCCTGAGCTACACAGTGAGTCCAAGGCTAGCCTGGACTACATAGCAAGACCCTATCTCAAAAACAATTACAACTTCATTTCTTGAATGGATTTGAAAAATACTGAATTTAGTATCTTAAAAGATTTTTCCTCTTGAAGTCTAGATGTCCTTGTTACATATATTTGAAGGAAAATAAGTTCTGGAAATAAGTTATGAGTCAATATATTATGGATAGTCTAACCGTATCTCTGACTAAGATATGTGAAAGTACTTTTATAAAATGTTAGATGGATTTAATAACAACTGAAACAATATTTTAAATAACTTTGTTTTAAGATTGAGCATCATACGGAGTATAAAATAGAGTAACTTAGATTTCTCGCCTCAACGTGCTGTTCACTGTGTGTATTTTTCTCTTTCTCCTCTAGGCTGCTGACTTGAGTAAACCAATAGATAAAAGGATATACAAAGGAACACAGCCTACTTGTCATGACTTCAACCACCTAACAGCCACAGCGGAGAGTGTCTCTCTCCTAGTGGGCTTTTCTGCAGGCCAAGTCCAGCTTATAGACCCAATCAAAAAAGAAACTAGCAAACTATTTAATGAGGAAGTAAGTAGCACCCTGTCTTAGCTGTTAAGAATCCCTTTAAGAGTTTGTATGGTCTTACCAAGGGGAGTGGGCCTTTCTTTACACTTTAGGCTAAGCCCATTTTTAAAGAGTTTTCAGCCGTCCTCCCTTGTATTATCCAGGCTTAAATGTGGTGAATTAATTTATTGACCTTTTCCTATTCTGTGGGGTAATTGTTTTGTGTGTTTTTATGGGGCTTGCTCAGGTATTCACAGTAGGTGCTTTAAAACTCTTCTGTAATGGAGATAGGCATAGCACAGTCATTTGGTATGTATCATTTAAAGAAGAAAATCCACGCTTGAAAACTTCGTTCAGATCCCCAGAAAACCTCATGCACATTGGAGACCTTAGTGGCATTTCTTTAGCTGCTCAGATTGCAGTTAAAGCTGTTGTATGTATGTTCTGTGGGCACTGGCTAAGGGGTGATTCTTCTGCTCTTGAAAATATGTGCCATAGGTTGATCAGCTTTGACACATAGAAATCCTGGCACTTAAAAGTGGAGCACACAGTGTAGCCTTCGCCAGCGCTGCAGTCTGCATCGGGCTCAGCACCTTCCTTTCATTCTGAGCTGCCTCTCAGGAAGGGCTCAGGACTGTGAGACCCGAAACAGGCCAACTGCCTGGTAGACTTGTCAAAGCCCGGGAGCGAGCCTTCTCCGCTCCACGTGTTGCCACTAGACCTGTGACGCCCTTCGTCCTCTGTTGCAGCGTGACCCACCTAGCAGAAGGCAGGGATGCAGTGGGCTTGCTGGGACAGCCCTGGGCTCCCGTCTCTGCCGTTCCTCAGCCCTCAGATGCCAGCGTCAGGCTCCACGGGACCCCTTTTTCCGAAAGGATAAGTGCTTTTGCATTTTGGCATGGTTTTGATATCACTAACTGGAACAGAAACATGTTACACATTATAGATTCTACTTTTTAAGAAATGATTTTGTTTGGGAAGAATATTGCCCAAATGTGACGAACTGCAGCTAAAATTATGGTTCTGTTGCAGTCACAGAATGCTCTATCCTCGAGTGTCCATATCCGCCCCGGTGCGCCTGCTTGACCCTGCCAGTAGATTTGGTGAAATCTTTTGAACCGTGCCGTCTCTTCTAATCTCATCTGGGTTGGGTAGAAACAGAGCTTGTCACCTGGATGGGCAGACTGTAGAGGAAAAGTCCTTAATTCCATTTCCTCTTTTTCAAAAATCCCAAGCAGAAAATACTCTGTTTACCCAGTGTTTTTTTAACATCTGCAGAGGGGGTTCCTGAGTAGCAGGATGATGCATTTTTATTTTTTGCTGAAGAGGAGGCACAAGTCAGCCTTCTCTGCGTGGGAAGCAGACGTGGTGAATTTGGGGTCGCCGTGGGTTTGGTTTGTGTAGGTAGTGGGAAGTGCTGGAGGGGAAGGGACTGGACCGTGTGCAGGGCTGTTGTGCACACCGTCCAGAGGCACTTCTGACCGAGGGTGGCGCAGAATGCCACTTAGACAATGAGAAAGGTTTGTGTGTCATGGCTCGGGGAGGTGGGGAGCTGGAGCCCCCAGGAGCACTGGGTGCAGCCCCAGCCCTGCCTCGGTGCAGCTGCAGCTGGAGATTCCCCTCCTGATGTAAGTGTGAGTCATCGGTCCCGTCTCCCACGTCATCTGAGCGACGGCTCTTCGGACCGGTCGTGCAGTGTATGCCCCGTACTAGGTTGGTACTTGTGTGAGGCTGAGATTGATGGTCCTTCACAGGAAGGACGTCTTTGGCTGTGTGCATTTGTTTTCATCAGGGTTTGGTCAGAATGTCTTAAGAGCCAGGCCACCAAGGCTTTGTTCCGCAGAGTGCCGAGCTCCATGTGTGAAGCAGTCTTCACGCTGCGCTTTGCACTGGTGTGAGATTCCAAGTCTCACTGTGCGATGCATGGGCGGGTGGGCGGATGAGGAGATTGTCAAAGAGAAGGTAAGTGAACTGTCCCGCTCTGTTAGCAAGGTAATGATACAGCTGGGTTGGAAAGTTAATTCCCCAACTCTTGCTGCTTGTAGTCTTCAGCCTTGTATGTGTGTGCTTGCCAGGCTGGCCCGTTCCTTCCCACGAGCCACGGAGTAAGAATGGGCAGGGAGAGGAGTGGAGCATGAGCTGTCACAGTGCTGTGAAGGAAGCAGTGTTCCTGGGTGCGCGTCAGACACAATGTTCTTCTTAAAAGTTAGGTTGGAAGCCAGGTGCCATGGTGCACACCTGCAGTCCCAGTGCTGTGGGTGGCTGAGGCAGGGGAATCACAAGGTCAAGCCCAGCCTGGGCAACTCAGCAACGTAGCAGAACCCTGTCTCAAAATAAAAAATAGAGAAGGCCCTGGTACCTTGTTCTCTAAGTGGCACAGAATGCCACTGTACAATCCCTGGTACCAAAATGAAACGAAAACAGAAAGTTCACTGAATAGGGGAGTTCAAGAAGTGTTCTCAGAAAGCGACGTCTGACCTAGGTCTCAGAGGGCATTTACAGTGGTAGAAAAGGTAAAGAAGCTCCTTAAAGACGGAGGAAACAAGCCAGGGTGTGGTGGCACACAGCCATACCTGGGAGGCTGAAGCAGTAGGATCTCGGTTGAGGCCAGCCTGGGCTACATAGTGAGATCCTGTCTTAAAAAAGGGAGGAGCCTGCCTGGTGTTTGATGGAACCTCAGGCAGCAGCATGATCGAGTCCCAGGGCGTGCGGCCCGGAGGGGCAGGGGTCAAAGCAGGAGAGGTAGATCCGAACGGAGCTGTAAGCACAGGCCACTCGCGTTGTGCTGAACATTTGGGATCTAACCACGGAGGCTGGGGGGACCTCTGGGCTTTTAATCAGGGGAGTGACAGGCTCACATGTGTTTTTTAGAGCTCTTGTCAGCACTTGTGGAAGGTGGAGTGGAATGAAGGAAGAGAGAATGAAGGTAGCAAGACCAGTGAGGAGGCCCTAGTGACTGTCCAGGTGAGAGCCGAGGGCTGGAGCTAGGGTGTGGCCACGCTCCCCTTCACTCAGTGGGCTCCTCCGCCACGTCCTCCGCTGGGTCTGCGGGGGCAGATGCAGCCTGACCTGTCACCCTCTGGGGACGAGAGGGATAGATAACAGCAGCACCCGCAGACCGATGCCTGAGCGGGGACACACCGCTGTCTGGGAGGAGAAGCAGGCACTCTGACCCGCAGGCAGGGGTTGCAGAGATGGCGTGAGTGGGTGAGGGACGGGAGCGGAGAGCGGTGGGTGCGGGGGTGCCGGCTGGTGGGGGCTCTCAGCCACATGTAGAGGGAGATTGGACATAGAACTTCATTATAAGAAAGAAGCAGACATGGACAGAATGGCAAGCCCACAGAGTCACCTGGACACCTCGTGTCTATGGGTCCCCTCCTGGTTTCCCTGTGTCCTGTCTCATAGAGTGCATCAGCATGTTTGTTAGCTGCTTGTGACATAGTCCTACCACTTCCTGCCTCGTTTCCACACTGGACCCCGAGTCTGGCCATGGCCATTCAGAGCCGTCTCTGTGGCTTGTTTGCTAATTGGCTTTAAGCCAATGATTTAACCTACTTTAACATTTCATTTGCTCCCATCCTTATGCTGCCGCCTAAGCATTTCCATCCTCCTCCATCCTAAGGCAGCTGAAGGACAGCGGTCTGTCCTTTGGAGCTGCTTCCTAGCCGCCCAGAGGAACAGAACCGCCAGGTGTTTGCTCTAGAGGTCCGGTGGGGGCTTTGGCTTCTGGCATCAGTTGCAGGTATGGGATGAAGCCACGTGTGACCATAGACTGGAATGGAATTGCTATCATCTGGAAGAGACAGACTTAAATTAAACAAGCATGGGCCAAATTAAATAAGCACAGGCCAAGTACACTTAGTAAAATGGTGGTAAGTGAGCCTGGAGGAGGTGGGAAGCAGGTCACGCTGGACAGGGCAGCTTCTGATTGATTTTTTTTTTTTAAATGAAATAGAGTTTTAGTAGGACACGGATACACAAGTTTAGTGCTTTTATTATACTGTTAGAAAATTATTTTAAAGACTATGTTATGGAAGGTACAAAAGATCAGTACTGTTATTTCTGTTTGTTTTATAATCGGTATGTGATCTTTTACCAATATGGCTTTAAATTTTCATTATTGAACATGCTTCAAAGAATAATTTATTACATACCTTAATGAAACATTTAAAATATTTATAAATTCAAAATAGATGTTGCATAACTGAAAAACATCCCTCCTGAGAAGTCATTGTAATACTGTCATATGTTTCTTTTTTATCCAAATCATTAAGGTGGCTGAGGGTCCACATACGATCTGTATCATCTACTGTATCAATTATATTTACTTTCTTATTTAATATTGTTATAAAACTGTTATAAAACTTACAGATGAAGATTCACATTTGTTTTGAATATAACAACTTAATAAATTGCTATAGCTACAGTATTTAAATAAAGAGTAAAAATTCACAGTAATGTTATTTTCCTGAGTCAGGTATAACACTTTTTTGAAAATCATTGATTGAGAAGGCCAGTCCATCAAGCAAGCCACAACGATCATGTAAACATGCAATACACAAACTGAAAACAATAAAAATTTTATAAGAAGGAAAAGGCATATAGTATATACACATAATCCTGTTGTCTTTGTCAACCTCAAAAAATATTGCCTGGGAGCAAATTGTCTTAGAAAAAACTTCTTTAGGGGTTAATGTTAAGGCAGGTATAAGTATGTAATGTTGTGTGATAATACGTAGACGACTCCCCTGCTTATGGCCAGAAGACAAGGATAAAAGGAGAGATCTTGTAGGACTGAGGTGGTGGTATTACACTTGTATTACATACCAGCTGTTAAAACTAATGCTCAATTTTTTAAAATGCTATGTGTGGCCAAAGTATTACATATCCTTAAAATAATCCTTAAAGCTAAACTGGTTAAGAGTAGAGAGAAATTTAAAATAAGTGCCTTAAAAATTATATTTGAAGTGGGTGTGGTGGTGTACTCCTGTAATCGCAGCATTCCAGAGGTGAGGTGGGAGGATCGCCAGGAGTTCGAGGCCAGCCTGAGCTACAGAGTGAGACCCTGTCTCAAAAAAATTAAAGTAGTGTCTTTTTCAAAGCAAATATTTACAGTTGCAGTTAAAGCAGAAGATGTGTTAACATTTTTTACAAAACGATGAGAGACAGTAAAATACATTTTACAGCAGAAAAAAAGAATGACTTTTAAATTCCAAGTCAAAATGATTTGTGTGATTTTATGCACACCAAACTTGGGAAAGAAAGGGTTAGAGTCTGGTACCCAAATGCTAACCCAGTGGTGGCACACATCTGCCATCCCTGGGGGCTGAGGCAGGAGGGTCACTCTGAGTTCAAGGCCGACCTGCCCTGCATAGCAAGACCTTGTCTCAAAACCGGATGCAAACCCGCAGCGGAGCACCGCGAAGCCTTCCCCCATCTCACAGCCTGTGCGGTTGTGGTACATGTTTCTCCCACAGTGGTGCTGTGCACAAGTCTGCCACAAGAGGCGCCCCAGCGCCTGCCCTCCTGCGTGGTGACCGCGGTGGGACAGTGAGGAGCCCCCTGTGTGAGAAGCTGCTCCCTAGGGCGTGCGCGCAGGCCGTTGCCTCCTGAGCCCTATTTCTTCTTCCAGGGACTAGAATGTAGGGAAGTAGAAAGTTCATGGCGGGTCTGATGTGATGGAGGTTGAAGCCGGGAAGTGATGTTTATTGCCTCCGTGCCCTCAGAAGTCCAGTACCAGGGAGGAGAAAGGCCTCCCCTTCGGGCCAGCCCCTGCCTGTCCACCAGATCTTCCCAGGGTAGCTCAGGAGTCACAGCGAGGGCCAGCCCGTGTCTGGTCAACACGGGAGCAGAAGAGCAGGGCTCTAGGATTAGGGTGGGACTGACTTCATACTGGAGCTCTGCCCCTGTGTTCTGGCAGGGTGGCTTTTAAGGCGGTTCTGCTTCGTTTCCTGCCTCAAAGTGGTGTCTCTCTGTGGGCAGGGGAGATCAGGAAGCAGTCGCATTCCGTTGACGTGGGGTTGGAGTGACGGTACAGGGAATGCGCTGTACTAGTAACTGACCCTTCAGTCATGCCGCAGACCCACTAACGTAAGCAAGAGTTTTAGTATTTCATGTCTTCACTGAAGGCAAGAGCCTTCACATGAGGAGTCACTTCAGGCCCGTAGTTCTGGGTGGGCATTGATGCCCTGGGAAGCTCTGCCTAGGGGCCCCCAGGCACCTGAGCAGGTTGGGGTGCCGCAGGTGTGGCCGCAGAGTGCTGGGACCCGTCAGCCTTTCTCCGTGTGCGCTGTGCACACCGTGCTTTTGTTTTGAGTGGCTCTTAAAACAGCTGATGTTCAGAGCCACTTCTAGATCCAGCCTGTTAGATCCAGTTTAGATCTCTGTTTGGGGTTTTTTTTTTTTGGCTGTTGTTGGGTTTCTGTGTGTGTGACCATCTATTATTCTCTGGTCACACTTTCCTGCTGAGTGTTCAAGAACAAGTAGGTGACTCGTATCAGTCAAGTCACCCTTTCCTTTATATATATTTTTTTAATTTTAAAAATAAAAGGAGGAAAATATTAACAGACAGTCAACATTTTACAAAATAGCAAAGGAACAGTACAGACAGTACAGAGTTACAAACAGAGTGGTAGGGAATTACCAATGCTTGTTGTATTACATATTGATATCTTCAAAGTGGTTTCTCATGAAAACAGGTAGAGACATACA